GTGATTCTGTTGCAATCTTTGGTCTTGGAGCTGTTGGCCTTGCTGTAATCATCTCTCTCTCTCTCTCTCTCTCTGCCTTTCATAAATTATCAATTATAAATGATGCTCCTCTAAACCAAAATATAAGATATTGGAGAATTAAAAAAAAGTAGTTAAAAGTGATTTATATCATTAAAAATATAAAAAAGATATAACTATTTTTCAAGATTACTATATTTTAATTACCTTTAAGGGAAAATATTCTCTTTTGTTCAGTTGTTTCCTGGTCCATGCTGATGTGTATTAAAGTGTGATAAAGTAGTAAATATTTTGCAACATGGAGCTTAAAGAAAAAATTTGTTATTTATGTTTCTTTCTTATATAATCTATCTCTATAATATAATTAATAAAGGTATTTGTGGAAAAGAAAAATTTAATGTTATTGACATTTTACAAAGTGTCATATATTTTAGACCGACCATGACAGAAAGAAAATGTCTAATATTTTGGATTGAAGAAAGTATGTATAACTCTATTTAATTATTGATGTTAAACAATGATTAGGCTGCTGAAGGTGCAAGAATTGCTGGTGCATCCAGGATCATTGGGTTGACTTAAATCCCGATAAATATGAGCAAGGTGCCTCTTCTTTTTTGTTTTTGCTTCCAAACAGACTTTCTATTATCATTGTCTTTATTCCATAAACAAGACAACAAGTCATACAATTGAGATATCTAGATTGGAAAAGGGTTTGGGGGGGGGGGGGACTGACTAAATTTTGAAATGTGCCTCTTTTGATTCCTCTCAATGACAGCCAAGAAATTTGGAATAACAGAGTTTGTGAATCCAAAGGACCATGATAAACCAATTCAGCAGGTGCACAATTACACAATTACACAATTATGAACCTGACATGTTCCCAACATACTGTGAACTTGATGTTTGAATCTATGCAGGTCCTGATAGAGATGACAGACGGTGGAGTTGATAGGAGCATTGAGTGCTCTGGAAACATTGATTCCATGACCTCTGCTTTTGAAGCTGTTCAGGATGTAATATTATTCTCATCAACCTTCTTCTTGGAAATATAATTGGAGTTTAAAGTATGGTCTAACATTTATTTCTTACCTTAATCCCTGTTCTGTATAGAGTCCAAGGCAAAGAGCTTACTTCCTCTACTTTAAAATATAGGATATTTTTTATTAATTTTACAAGAATTAAGCAAAAGCAGTCAGAAGTGGTTTGTATGTCAAGACGATAAAAATTATATTATTACTTTCTAAAATCCTCTCCAATTAAAATCAATATATTTTAATTAACTTTAATTTCTTTCTTATATAATCTCTATCCACACTACAATTAACAAGGACATATTTGCAAAAAAAAAAAAGAATTTAATGCTTTTAATTTTTTTATAAAGTAACGTATATTTTAGACCAACACTAGCTAATAAAAAATATTATATATTTTGGGGCGAAAGAAGTATATTTGTTTTCAATGGAGAACCTAATGAGTGCAGGGATGGGGTGTTGCTGTGTTTGTGGGAGTACCAAAGAGTGATGCAGAGGTAAAGGTAAATCCATTTCTGTTTCTGAGTGAGAGGACCATCAAAGGCACTACCTTAGGCAACTACAAACCCAAGTCTCATCTTCCTTCTCTTATTGATGTGTGCCTCAATCATGTGAGTTCATCCCCTCCCTATTTCCTACATTTTTGCTTTTACTCTGACATCCTAGATCTTTAATCTAGACTAATCTCATCAACAACTTGTAAAGATTAATTATTTAGACGATGCTTAGGTCAGAAACAACACATAAATGTTGTTATTTCTTTCAGAAAAAGATGCTCCTGGCAATGAACACGATGAAGGTTAATTATTTATATAATTGAATGAAGGAAGTGAATTTTAATTCCTTTTTTTTTTTTGGGTGCAGAAACTGGAGCTGGATAAATTTATAACGCACAGAGTTGGGCTTTCTGAAATAAACAAGGCATTTGATTACATGATTAAGGGCGATGGCTTGAGAACTATCATTCATATGGAAGACTGATTGATCTTGGCCAAATATTAAATTACCAACAAAATTTCCGATGCTTGTTTGAATTCAAATCTGAGAAGAATAATTAGATGGGTTTAGGTTTTGATGCAATATGATGCACACTTTTCCTTAAAATTGTCAGACCCCTAATTTGTTTAAAATAATAATATTGTGTGCTTTTTTAAACTAGCAAAGTTTTAGGCTCAGAAATATTGTAAATCATTTAGGTTGTGTTTGAATGGATGATTTGAGTTAAGAATTTAAATTTAAAATCTCACATTTAAAATTTACAGATTTTAAATTCTTTATTTAAATGATATAAAAAATTTCAAATGCGACTCCAAATTTTAAATTCTATGTTTAAACTTAAAGGCAATTTGAATGGAGTCAGTAGTCTGGTTCCAATCAAAGTTGTTGGTTGGGTCCAAATCAATGGTGATAGCTCAGTCTTGGTTGATTCCAATTGTCCGAACCCAAACTATATCAATGGTCAAGTCTCGATTGATAGTAGCAGCTTGGCCTAGTCGACATTGGCGGTTCAATCCTAAATAATGCCTACAAATTTGCATGGGATGATTATAGCAATCTGGTCCTAGTTGACACTAATGGTCCATTCTTGATCCATGGCGGTGATCAATTCTCAATCAGCACTGATCGTTCAGTCTAAGTCAAAGTTGGCCGTCCAATCTCGGGGGTACCAATAGTCCTTTCTCAATCGACACAAACATTCCAATCCTAGTTGTCGCTTGAAGTCTGATCCCAATTGGCATCAGCCATCCTTCTCGATCAATGTCGGAGATTCAGTCCTAGACAACATTGGTGGTTTGGTCCTTGTGGAAGTCGACCGGAGGCAGTGATGTCAAAGTTGACGAACGAATGCAAAGGAAAAGAGGGGTTTTCATAGAAATTTAGAATGATAAAGGTTTAAAAAATTTAAAATTATAAAAAGATTAAGGTAGGATTTAAATTTGAATTTAGATCAAATCCAAATCCACACATTTTTAATTATCCAAATAATAGATTTGGCTCAAATTCAAATCACATGCATCCAAATATAGCATTAGGTTGCATTTAGATGGGTAAATTTGAACTGAGAATTTGGATTTGAAATTTCACATTTAAAATTTACATATCTTAAATTCTTTGTTTGGATCATATAAAAAAATTTAAATTATAATATTAAAATTATTTGTTTGGATTTTAAGCAAAATTTTAATTTTCAAATTTTATGTTTGAATTTAAAAGCAACTCAGACAATATCGATAATCCGATCCTAGCCAAAGTCAATGGTTTGGATGGCCGACTTCCTTTAGCAATCTAGTCTTATTTGGCGCTGCCGACGGGCCAATCAAATTATAAAAAGATTGAGGTAGGATTTAAAATAATAAATATTTATAAAGTATTTCAAATTATAAGGAGATTAAGGTAGAACTTGAATTTGGGTTAAATTTAAATTCATGCATTTTTAATTATTCAAATAATAAAGTTGGCTCAAATTCAAATCTAAATTCTTATACATCCAAACATAACATTAAACTTATTTTTAACTATAAACAATATTCCTTTTATTTTTGAATATAACATTTAAAATTATGGTCTCAGTTAAAAACTACTTTATTGCACCCTCTCTAATCAATGGCATTTTTTAGAAAAAGGGTTAAAAATTTTAATTACACTTTAAAAATAAAAAATACTTTATATTTTTTTAATATAGTCTTTTTAAAAAAGGAGTTAATGAGTATCATAAACTCTAAACTATTATGTGAATAGCGTTTTAAATTTTAAACTCTTAAAATGTACAAAAACTTCTCTTAACTTATAAATTCTAAGCACCTAAAACTTAGTCATTAAGTTGTAGAAAATAGTTGTTATTTTTATAATAGTCATTAAGTTGTAGAAAATAATTGTTATTTTTATAGTTGTGGGGCCTAGTTGTACATTGATGTGGTACTCATATTAACCCTTAAAAATAATGGCTGTTTTCTCTAACTTAATAATAAGATTTCATGCACTCAAAATTTAAAAAGTAATATTTTTTTTTCACATTTTAAGAGTTCAAAGTCTATGATATTATTTAAGTAATAGTTTATAACTTAGAATACTCATTAACCCTTAAAAAAATGCTATATAATATTGAATGGAGTGAGTAAATATGTGGAAAAGATTTACAAAGGAAGGATGCTGCCTTGAAAATGAATCCCCCCCAAATAAATTTAACACACAAATTAACATGCAATGCACTTTTTTTTTGTTTTCTCTTTTAAAAAAATGACAAAAAATTCAAAATATATAAATGATAACTAAGTATCATAAATTATAATAGTTATCATTGAATCTTAAGAAACTTGTATGATATTTTGATTTTTTATAGAATGATTTATTTATCTTCATATATTAATATACTTTGATAAATAATTGTTTTAATTGGGCTATTGATTACAAGAAAATAGAAAATGATTATTTTATTTTTACAAATTTGTTTGTCAATCAAATATAATTAAAGTAGTTATTTTTAGAAAAAGAAGTGATTACTTTTAATTCGTTTTTGAATAACAAATTTCCAAAAATAAAGTATTCTATTATGTTTTAGTCAATAATCTAATCAAGGTAGTTACCAATCTTTTGCACTTACATTTCATTGATAAATAAATGTTCAGAAATAAAATAATCATTTTTTATTTCATTTTAATCAATAACCTAACTAAAATAACCATTTATCAAAGCATATTACTTACTAAGATTAAATATACCATTTTATAAAAAAATAAAAATATCATACAAATTTTTTTAGAATTAAATAATAATAATAATAATAATTACAATTTCCGGTTATTATTATTATTATTATATTATAATTATTATTGTTATTATTATTTTTTGGTAGTTCTTACCTCTCCCCCCCCCCCCTCTCTCTCCATGTGATGGTGTACTAATCAAAGTTTCTTTTAGAGAAAATAAATGACAATTAAAAAGAGGTAAGTCATTGGAGGAAGGAACTTTCCGAAGGGAGAGCAAGTCAGCCCCGAATTCCGTCCCGCGTGCCTTCTCTTGCCCATGTAGGACTCCAGCGTTTCTTCCGTTTCTTTTCTCCGAATTCCCACCAAATTCAATAATCATTACTTTTTCTCTCTTTTCTTAACCTGCAAGAACACAACGATCCAAATTTCCTCTTGTTTTCTCCCTCTTCACGCCTAATTTAATCAATCAAAAAGCCGTTTCTTTGAGGTTTTCGCGCTTGTTCTGTATCTGCACAACTGCTCCGTATTGAATCCTTTTGATTGAAGCAGAGTCAGGGTCTCCTCCCCGATTTCGTAGCAGATATGTTACATCGAAGCTTCAAGCCCGCAAAATGGTAATAATCATTCTTCTCTCCCCGATATTTTTTATGCTGGTGAGCGATTTCAGTGGACTGATAAGATTATTTAGTGATTGACTTATGGTAAAATTCACTGATACGAGATTCCATGTTCGCCTAGAAATGTAATTAGTTGTTTGCTCGCTGTCTCTGTATGTTATACTGATTTGAAGTTAGCTTTCTGGTTGTAATTTACAATCTTTCTGATGGAGATGGTTTTTCTGTTGACAATAACAATTTGTTTGTATTGTGAACTGCCCTGCAGCAAAACAGCGTTGAAACTTGCGGTTTCACGAATAAAGCTTCTGAAGAATAAAAGAGAAACTCAAGTGAGGCAACTCAAAAGGGAGTTAGCCCAATTGCTTGAGTCAGGGCAGGATCAGACGGCTAGAATCCGGGTAATAATATAAATCCAAGAAATCCAAAACTTACCACCTTTCCAGTGATACATCCGTGGTATTCATTCGGATTTCTAACTTATCAAAAAGTCCTTAAAACTAGCATCACTACAAATGTCAGGATAATATAAATATATTGCTCAAGTTCATTTTGTCTTTAAAATGAGGGGTTTAAGTGGTGGTGGTTTTGTGATGGAAATGTTAAGCAAGTTATAGAAGAGAACGCTAAAAACCTTGACACTACTTTCACTCCAGTGGATGAAGATAAAATTTCTAAACCACAGATACGATGCCTTCTATCACTGTTCTAACTAAGAATATTGAAATCTTACATGCTTGTGGCAGTTCAAGTGCCTCAGAAATGGATCAAAACAGCACAACCAGATTGTAAAATGACTAGAGTTAAAGAATACGCCAGTTACATGAGTTGTGCTTGTAATATCTCAACTGGCAACGCTTTTTCTTCATCTTTTTGTGATTTGTTTTTTTTGGTGACCCTTGACTTCTGTTTCCATGTTCATTCAGGTTGAACATGTTGTTAGGGAAGAGAAGACAATGGCTGCATATGATCTTATAGAAATATACTGTGAGCTGATTGCAGCACGCTTGCCAATGATTGAATCACAGAAGTATATGATCTGACACTCACCCAAATAATTTTGGTGCATTCTACTTCGTCAACATCATGAAATTGTTTTCAACGTTTACTGTATGTTTTCTATTTGGTCAATTAAATGAAATATCACCTTTTTACCTTGTGGGCTGGTCTGCCTTGATGTTTATACTAAAATATTTGGTAATTTAGCCAACAAAACAAAATTTTCTTATATAGCTTACATGTCACACTTTGTCGAGTAAATATGTGATCTTTGGTTTTGGAACTCTTGGTGAATATTGTATGAAAGAGGAACAGTTATAGTAGAAATGAGGCCAAGAGGTTGTAGTCAGACTAGGATTTGAATAGCAAGCAGGCAAATATGAGTAATGTCCCAATTCTGGTGGAACTATGTCATAGCCATCCTGTTGATCATGATAACATCCCAATTCTGGTGAATCTGAATTTGCATGAAAAGTATGAGTAATATCAACCACTACTTTTCTTATTGGGACATGGTGGATGATGATATGTTAAAGAGAGTTCACTTTGTTCTTGAATGAATGATGCAGTGTTTATTAAAAGATAAGAAAAATTGCTATATGTTTACATAGAACTTTGATCTGTGAGGCTTTCTTGGTTTCTCCTGGATGCTCCTGCATCAGCCTTTTGATTATTCTTCATGCGGAAAATAAGTATTTGGCATGCCAGTGAACAGGTCCTTCAGTAATGCAGTGCTTTATTGTTTTTCATCATGTTCAATTCAGTTTTGTCACCCATTTATGTGTTTTTTTTTTTCATGATGCACTTGTGTATATATTTTACCATATGCTGCGACCTTGTGCTTGCCTTAAGGGTTAACTGCTTGAGTATTTTCGTGTCTGAACACTATTGAATTTGCAACTGAGAATCTAGCTTCTTGTTGTTTGAGCCTGCTCACATTGTTTTTTTCCCATCAGAAACTGTCCTATTGATTTGAAGGAGGCAATTTCGAGTGTAATATTTGCATCCCCACGGTGTTCAGATATACCTGAGCTCATGGATGTGAGGAAGCATATGACAGCTAAATATGGAAAAGAATTTATCTCAGCAGCTGTTGAATTACGGCCTGACTGTGGTGTAAATCGCCTGGCAAGTTTCTCTGCCTTCTTATAAGTTTACAACAAGGACTAATTTGAAGCTTATCTATTATTAATTTTTTTTTTCACTTAATGTTGTCTTTTCAGTTGGTTGAGAAACTGTCTGCCAAAGCACCAGATGGTCCAACTAAGATGAAAATACTGACTGCAATTGCTGAGGAACATAATATAAAATGGGAACCTAAGTCTTTTGGAGAAAGTGATTTAAAGCCCGCTCAAGATTCACAGGTAGGCTTTGTTAAGCATGGATGATCATTAGTTGATTTTGTATCATTATGAAAACATCATGCTGTGTTATATTATTATATTATTTTGACATTATTGATCTTTCAAGGTTGGGCCAAATGCATTTGAGAAGGGTAACTATGTGGAACCTCCTCAAGTTCATGTTCCAGCTATTCGTGATGAAAAGGGACCTTCTAATTTACACGGTTCCTCTCAATACGAAGAAATGCGAATTATGCCTACAAATATAGATGAAAATACTAGTGTTGCTCATAAAATGGTTGGTGGCAATAAGTCAACAACATCAAGCACCGCTAATCCAGGGATTGGATCATCAGGTGACTTTTTTCAGTTACTTTATATCATCTATTCTGTTTGAAGATGGTCATTATATACTTCTCCTCAGACTTATATCTGTCTATTACATGGTTTGTTGGGACCTGTCTAACAGGAACTGGAAATCAAGAAGTGGATTCTGCAGCTTCTCATTATGAAGACAGGAGAAATGTTCCTATGGATAATATAAATTGGAGCATGGAATTTAAGGATGCTGCCTCTGCTGCGCAGGCAGCTGCAGAATCTGCAGAGCATGCGAGTATGGCTGCCCGAGCAGCTGCAGAACTTTCAAACCGTGAAAGAATAATTAGGCAGTATTCAAGTGGATCACAGGGTTCTTCTGGAAGTGTTTTAAGATATGAAGTTCCTCAAGAATTTGCTTTTCATGATGATAAACGTCCTCCCACAGAAAGTGCAGGAATGACTGCTAGTGCAGCTGCAGACCAACCAATTCGTGAAAAGACAAGCAAGCAACATTCAACTGGATCACATATATCACACAAGAGTAATGAAATACCTCAAAAATATGCTCCTTTTGATGATGAAAAGCGTATTCTACTGGTTCTGTTGATAACATCGTCCACAGTAGTACTTTTGCAATGCATTATGGGCAAATTAGAAGCAGAGAACAAGATAGGCCTGCAAGAGCGCCTGATGAATATAACATGAATAGTTATGATGTGGTGAATCGTCCCCCGTCTTCTACCTTCATATCTAGTGGTTCTTTTAATGATGATAACTTGTTTGCTGTTGATTCTAAAAGGGCAAATATAGATCCTGAAAATAATTCATTTAGCGAGAAAATAGTGACTACCTATATGAAATGAACATGAAAAAAGGGGCGAGTGGAACTGAAGTAGATGAAGTCAGTGAACTGCATTCTGATTTGGATACTGAAATTGAAAACAATGATCTATTTGGAGATGGAAGGATGGATAGGCAGTCTAGAAAAGCTCCCCTTCTGCTCAATTTATTATGCCAAGTGATGATCGTAATGATGTTTTCAAGTGAATGATCCAAAGGTAAACAACAGTCCTGTGGGAGACCTTTTTGTTACCGATGAAGGAAAACACTCACAGAATATCTATGGAAAACAAATTCTTATAATGATACTCCTGTTGTTTTGATGATTCAGAGTCAGAGGGTGATGATTATAATTTGTGGATAAAATGTATGGGGAACAGGGATCTGGTTCTTTCTTCTCATCTATTGCTAATAAATCACATGCAGATCCATTAGCTAATAGCAATCTGTACCCTGGACAAAGACGTTGATGAGAATGAGACAA